ACCACACATGACATGCTGTAAAACTGTGCAACGGCGACAAACTACACACATTTTAATTTTGTCTTCCAACACAAATATATCTACTTGGATATATTTGTGTTGGAAGACTTTTTGTATTTTTGTATATTTGCATATATATTTATAACTTTAAGTGGAGTGCGGCACAGTTTTTGATATTTTAGATCATCCTGGTATAGCCACTCAAAGTCCAGCGACGTACCAGTATGTTGTTGGTCCTTGTTGGGCATATACAGTATGTAACAGCAGAGTACATGGGCAAATGATGAATCGGGTCTTTGGAACAATATGACCACAGTTAATTTTTTGTAATGTCCATGTTGAAGGTTAAGACCAAAAAAGTTTTAAATTCGGAAACCGGGATAGGTTTCCATACGTATTGTCTGGCAAGAGCTGAACTTGGGTGAGCAGCGATGTGTTGTTGTTGTTGTTGTTGGCGTATAAACATGTTTGGTCCACAATCAATTGATACAAATCTTCTGTGAAAAGCAGTGGAGGGGCTAAGTGCTAGTGCTGGCAGTGAATGGGGCTGATCCTGCTAACACTGCCTTTTTGAGGACACTATACTAATGAGACACTAGTACAGTTCTGTTCATGATCGATATATTGAAACAAACAATATACCAGTAATCGGGGTGATCAGTGACCTATAGCATGAGTGCGATAGTGTGCAGACAATCTAAAGCTAGCTGACCATGACTGGGAGGGGCGCTAACCAACCCTGACACTATGTGATGTCACTAGTGGCAGTAATACAGTGATCAGTGAAAAATTCTATATATTGACACTGTACTTTTGGCACTGGCTGGGTGACGGGGCGATCAAAGGGTTAAATGTGCTAATCTAACGTGTGTGTAAAATGTAGCGCATTTACTCAGTGTGGTGTTTACCCTTCCCTTCCAGGAGATTGTGTGCACGCTCACACTTGGAAATAGATAGCAACGTAAGGGTAGGTCGCTTTGCCCAGAGCCGCCACTTGCGGCCAGGCTGTCAGCAAGTAGTTCAAAATTTGTAAGGTTTTTTTTTTTTAATTTTTCAATTTTTTATTTATTTATTATTTTAACATAAATTTTTATTATTTAAAAAAAGACTTTCATCAGAACAATGCAACGTTACTATAGTGTGTTTGTGTGTGTGTGTGGTGATCAGGGATTTTTTTTTTTTTACACTTTGCTTTGCAAGAGCAATAATGAGCATTGCTCATGCAATGCTTGTTTTGAACTGTCATGAAGGGTTAAGTTCATTACAGTTCAAAATACTAGTGATCTGTGATTGGCTACAGCTGAGCACATGGTACAGGGTGCTGTGATTGGCCCATGTACCATGTGAGAGCTGTGAGCCAATCATAGCTCAGAAGCAAAGCTGTTATGAATTGGATTGATTCATAACGGCTTTGCTAGCATTGTGATCATAACCTCCGGGTTCTGACTACTGGGATCCGCATTCTTTTGTCTCCTGTGGACACAGCGGTAACGGGGGGCACCCCCCTATGTTAGTACAGCCAGAGCGACGTACCAGTACGTTGCTCTGCCTGTACATGCCTCCTGTCCACAGTACATTGTGGGTGGGCGGGGCAGGCAGGCGGTCTGTAAGCGGTTACCATTTCAAGTCCGGACACTTTCACCCCCCTTCCAGTCAAGGCCTAATTTCAGCTTTCAGCACTGTCACACTTTGAGTGATAATTACTGAGGCATGCAACACTGTACCAATCTAAAATTTGTATGACTGCTTTTTTTTTTTTTTTTTTTTATTATTTTTGCTATAGAAAAGTTTGTACATTTTGAAAATAAATAATCTTTTTCATAAATTTAGGCCAAAATGTATTCTGCTACATTTTTTGGATAGAAATAACCCAAAACTGTGTATATTATTTAGTCTGTGTGAAAGTTACAGAGGCTACAAACTATCTGAAAATTGATTAGTTGAGACCCTAAAATGCCGGACGCTGGTATGGTGGTGATCAGGACATTGGTATGACAGTGATCTCCTGGCATGGGGTATGGGGGTGATCAGGATGCTGGTATGGTGTATGGGGGTGATCAGGAGGCTGGTATGGTGTATGGGAGTGATCAGGGTGCTGATATGATGTATGGCAGTGATAAAGACGCTGTTCTGGTGTATGGTGCGATGCATACTAGCACATTATAACTTTTTTTTTTTTTTTTAATCTGAATTTACCACCACTTTAAGGACCTTGAGCTTCCCATTTCCACTGTATACAGAGCTGAAAAAGTTGTTTAGTACATTTTCCTTTATCTCTCAAAACTATCTTGTAAAGGGCCTACATGGTCAGACCTAACCATTATATTGTTAATATATTTGAAGAATATTTAGGGGTTGCCCTATTCTCTTTTGAAACCTGTTGTTTGTTTTCAATCTTTGTGGCCTTGATTTTATTTTTACATATTCTGTTATATTCGCTGAAACTTTTAAATGATGACGTTCCTTCATTTTTATATTTTTAAATGCTCCTGTCTTATTATTTAAAGCTACCTTAACTTTGGACTTGAGCCACATAGTTTTAGTTTTTAATGGCACCCCCAAGCCACTTGCAAACACATGCACGTTCACATGCAGCACGTTTTGTAAAATGTGTCAGTCATTTCTTTTGTGTATTTTCTATCTATAATGCAGTCCTTCCAAATAAATAGCCTGCCTTAAACATGATGTGCAGGAATACACAAAAAAAGCACACACACTTCGCCACAGGTTGTGGACAGAGCCTAAACATTGACTTTAAAGTCTGGATAAAAATTGTAATAGCAGTGTCCTACGTTTTTTTGTTTATTAAATAATGCAGCTGCTTCTCTGTAGCGGTCTGGTATACCCTCTGTTTAGTCAGAGCTAGAGTTCTGCAATCTGCAGTGCTTATGCTGCCATTGCCACAAACAGATTGGGGGCTTCATATAAACAAATCCCTCCATCAACATCCCCCCCCCCCCCCGCGCGGGCTGCTAACACAGCTGCCACAACTTTGGGGAGATAGGGCAGCTCTAACTGTTCTTGCCTGTTCACCTCCTGTTGGAAAACAAGCTACAGCCCCCAGCATGCCCTGCAGGGATAGGGGAGTGATAGCCTGGAGCCCAGAAAAAAAAACAGATAGGGCTGTAGAGGACAGAGTGAGGAGAGGACTGCGTTGTGGTGAATGCCATCAGAGCAAGAGACCAACTGGAGTCCTCTTTGCTGTGTACCTGAGAGTGGAGGGAGAACCACGCTGCCCAAAAGCCACCAGAGAAAGCAAGGACTGAGTTACTGCTGGGCTACAGACATGCTAAACCACGGACCAGAGCTGCCTGGAATAACCAAGTGTAAGCGATCGTAGTTTTTCTGGGTCTGGTGAAAGGACTGAACCTTTTAGGAACTGACCACTTTGTTATTCCTTAATGCTAATACTGCCTGCAGGCCTTATTCACTATGCTCCAGTGAGCGCTGAAGGGGCAGAGCAGAGAGCCGATGATTGACAGTCATTTTTTCTCTGCTCACCAAAGGCTGAGAACTGAGCAATCAGAGGTGGTGGGGACAGATGCTGCATCAGACCGATGCTGCATTAACCTAAGTGAGTATGACTGTTTTATTATTTTTTTAAATCCTGCACTTCTCATGTAGCAGTGCTTTGCAGGTTGCATCTTGAATTCTTTGAGGCTGGGTCCACACATATGCGGTGCGTTATGTCGCATGTGATTCGCACAGGAACCTTACCACATTCCTGTGCAAATCACATGCGAATTGTGTGCGGTGCGATTGGAGCCATACATTCGGGGGGGGGGGTCCGATTTGATCCCCGAGGGATCAATCATCCAATTTAGGCCAGTGATGTCCGTCCCAAGTCGGATGATCGATCCCTGTCCTATCCTGTCCTGTGTCGACAGTTACACAGAACAAGAAGTGATGAAATCTCTCTCTGGGCACATTCTATCTCAGAGAGAGAAGAATTAACATAAACTGTGAGTAAAAGCACTACACAAATACAGTTAGAACACTGTAGGACACATTTAAACCCCTTGATCCCCCCCCCCCCCCAGTTAACCCCTTAACTGACCTGTCACCAGTGTCCTTGTCTAATGTACTAATGTACAGTGTACTGATTTTTTGCTGATCACGGTATTAGTGTTGCTGGCGACTTCAGATAGCGTTAGCGTCAGTTGGCGCCCCTCCCAGATAGCGTCAGATTGCCCGATAGTGCACCAGTAATCACCTTTAACCCCTTGATTGCCAGAAACACAGCACTATACCAGTGTTCACATTAATATAGCGTCCCCAAAAATGCAGCATTAGGGGGATCAGGCAACCTGCCAGCACCTCTGTTTAGCCCCTACGCTTACCCCCCCCTTCTCCCCCAGCAAGTGCAGTGTCAGTAGGTCACTGTCACTTGATACATTGCACACAAAACCACAGTGCTTGCAGAATCAAAAAATAAAACGCGCACAGGTGATCAAATGCTATCAAAAGAAAGTGCTATCATTTATGTACAGTATTGCGTGATCGCACAATTGTCAGTTAAACTAGTGCAGTGCTGTATAGCAAAAAAATTGCGTAAATTGCAGTATCTATACCATAGTTTGTAGATGCTATAACTTTCACGCAAAGCAATCAATATACACTTATTGGGATTTTTATTACCAAAAACATGTAGCAGAATACATTTTGGCCTAACTTTGTCTAACTTTGTCTAACTTTACTATATATTTGTATAGCCGAAAGTAAAAAAATATAGATTTTTTTTTTTTTTTCAAAATTTTCGGTCTTTTTTTGTTTATAGTGCAAAAAATAAAAAGCGTACAGGTGATCAAATAGCACTGAAAGAAAGCTCTATTTGTGTGAAAGAAGGACGTAAATTTAATTTGGATGCAGCATTGCATGACCGCACAATTACCAGTTGAAATAGTGCAGCGCCGAATAGCAGAACAAGGCCTGGTCATTAACCACCTCCCGCCTGCCATATAGTAATATGACAGACGCAAGGTGGTTCTCTTGTTCTGGGAGGACATCATATGACGTCCTCCCATTCTCACCGTGCATGCGCGGCTCAGGGAGTGTGCCGCACGGCGATCGGCGGTGCGCTGTGTCCCTCTGACACAGCGGATCACCGATCACGGAAAGAGCCGAAAATGTCAGCTCCGTCTTGTGATCAGCTGTGTCCAATTACAGCTGATCACATGTAAACAGGGAAATGCTGGTTATCGGCATTTCTCTCCTCTTGAGCTGTCACACTAATAGCTCGAGAGGAGAGGAGAGCCGGTAATCGGCTTTCCGCGAAGGGGACATGTACACTGATGATCAGGGCACTGTTGATCAGTGTGCCCTGATGATCAGTGTAGCCCCAGCAGTGCCACCTGTCAGTGTCCATCAGTGCCTTGTGTCTGTGCTCATCAGTGCCACCTGCCAGTGCCCATCAGTGCCACATCAATGCCACATATCAGTGCCTACCAGTGCACATCAATGCCACATAGTGCCCATCTGAGCTGCCTTTCAGTGTCACCCGTCAGTGCCAGTCAGTGCCACCTATCAATGCCAATCAGTGCCACCTATCAGTGCTGCCAATCAGTGCCAGCTAGTGCCGCCTATCAGTGCGCATCAGTGCCACCTATCAGTGCCTGTCAGTGCCGCTTAACAGTGCCTGTCAGTGCCGCCTATCAGTGCCATATATTAGTGCAATGTATCAGTGCTGCCTTTCAGTGCCCATCAGTGATGCCTGTCAGTGCCCATCAGTACCACCTACCAGTGCCTCCTCATCAGTGCCCATCATTGCCACCTATCAGTGTCCATCAGTGCAGCCTATCAATGCCCTCATTAGCGCACAACAGTGAAGGAGAAAAATCACTTATTTACAAAATTTTATAACAAAAACGAAGAAAAAAAGTTTTGTTTTTTTTCAAAATTTTCAGTGGTTTTTGGTTTGTTTAAGCAAAAATAAAAAAACAGAGTTGATTAAATACCACCAAAATAAAGCTCTATCTGTCACAAAAAAATGATAAAAATTTCATATGGCTACAGTGTTGCATGACCGCGCAATTGTCATTCAAAGTGCGACAGCGCTGAAAGCTGGAAATTGGCCTGGGCAGGAGGGGGGTATAAGTGGCCTGTAGGCTTGTGGTTAAAGGGGGTAAATTCTCAGGATGGGCAAGTGGTTAACCAAAACTGGAGAGTACAAAATCTGGTGCAGCTGTGCATAGCAGCCAATCAGCTTCTAGCTTCACCTTATTCAGTTACCTTTGACAATAAAACCTGGAAGCTGGCACTATATTTTTCTCTGGTTTTAGTAAATCCACCCCATAGAGTCCATCTATATAAGGCATATAGATACAATGGTGTAGATGTATGTATGCAGGTACATGAACATAAATCATATCTAGGTAAAATCACTTTGATTTATTTAGTAGTAGCATGTTATCTAGTGTTACCATAGGATACATATCAAAAGGAAGAATAGATATAGTAAATTAGAAGATAGGTAGGGAGCATTAGTCCTCATGCACATTGGACGTTTTGATAACACTGGTAACTTTAGCTGTGTAAAGACACGTTAAAAACATGAGTTTTTAAGCTTTTCTTAGCATTTTTGCATTAGCGTTTAGCAGCGTTTTGCTGTGCTTAGTCCTGAGTTTTTCCGCGTTTGGAGGTTTTAGTGTGTTTTTTTACCAAAAAAATATTTTTTTTTGGTGAAAACAATTTCCAAAAACGCCAGTTTGCGGCGTTTTGCCACGTTTTTTTCAGCATTAGAGCATTTTACAGCTCCTCTAGAAACCCACAAGCTGTGACCCACTAGTCCCAGCCAAAAAACATTGATTACAGTCTATGTGTGCATGGACACATAGGATAACATCCTATATATATGCAGATATATTTGCGCTGTGAGGCGCTGAAGTTAAATTCAAGTGCAATGAACGCCTGCGGACGTTATATTGTGCAGGCGGTGAACTTTAATAATAAGGTGATACAAATAAGCACATAAGTCCCAAACTCCATACAGAAGGGAAAAACGTGACTCCAGTGATCCCCTTTGATAACGTGCTCGTGCACGAAACGTGTTAGGGAGGAGCCAGGGTGTGACGTCTCACCGCTCGGCCATCTTTATTGCTGTATCACACTGTGAGTGCTTTTGTCCTATTGAATCTGCTTTTGCTTGACAATCCTTTTTTTTCAATAAAATACTACACAATCAGAAATTTCTGTTTTGGCTCGTTTAATTGCCAAAACAACAGAAAAGGTGGATTATTTTATTGCTCTGCACCTGCCATTGAGTGAGGTCCCCCTGGTGGTTATTCATGATATCTGGTACCTGGAGTGTGATCCCCCTTGTGGATGGCTGAGTGATTCCTGATCCCTGGAGGCTGATGACCCTACGATTACCTGTCTTTCTGCTGGTTGGCCAGTTGATCTGTGGATGTTCATCTCTCTATACCCAGAGGACCAGGAGTTGTTTAAGTACTCAAATGTGCATATGATTGCGCTATCTGGTTAGTGCAATCTACACTCATTTATACATCACTGGAGTCACATTTTTCACTTCTGTATGGAGTTTGGGACTTGTGTGCTTATTTGTATCACCTTATTTTTAAAGTTCACCACCTGCACAATATAACGTCCACAGATGTTCATTGCACTTGAATTTAACTTCAGCGCCTCACAGCTCAAATATATCTGCTTATATCATGTGTCATTTGATTTTTAGCGCTGCATATGTATATTGGATTTTATGAAGGTTAAGAGGTTTAGCCTTTATGTCCACTGCTGTTTTACATAGGATAACATGCTGGGGGGGTTTACTAGCTGGAGAGAAACACATCAAAAGCCAAAAACGGCAGCTGTAAAAACATCAAGTGTGCATGAGGACTTAGAGATAGGTTGGTGTGAAAGGTTGGGTTGGGAAGGAGAAATGGAAGAGAGGTTCAGGAGGGAGGGTTGGAAAATAGTCCCACCCAACTCCACCGTGGTTGGGATGATGGGGAATTCTATTATTTATGAATTTCAATGGATAGTGATATAGCCAGTCACATTTTGCTGTCAAAAGATGTTCTAGGTCCATTATAGAGTCCATTTCCAGAAACTTTTTTTTTTCATATAGAACATATGGAATTTACTAGTATGAAGCACAAACTGAGTTGATAAATTGTTTATCAAATCAGAGTGGAGGTGAACTGCAGCATGTACATTTTTTGTTGGTAGAAAACCCCTTTATGTATTGTATAATATGTTCTATAATCAAAACAATTAATAAGTAATCACTCTTGTTGTTCGCCAGGTCGGCAGCT